AGTCAGAGGCGGTATTTACCGGTTCTCCAAACTACTTGAAATTTCCGCTACCGGTTCTCCAGAACTGGTCAGAACCTGCTGAATAACCACCTGTGTTTGCACTGATCCACAGTCATGTGATCACCGTTTGTAACTTTCCCAGCTTCTCAAAAGGCCAGGCCAAATGGGGCAAGCAAGATTCACATAAGGACTGCATGATCCACTTAACAACTGTGGCAAAAGATCATAAAATGGGGCGCAACTTACTTAACAACTGCCTTGCTTAACAGCAGAAATTCCGGGCTCAACTGTGGTCAGTCAAGGACTACCTTTTCTCACCTGGATTTACGCTCCTTGTAGTCGTAAACTTGCACAGCCGCGTTATGGGGAACACGGTAAGACACAGCCCGTGTCTTATCACGGGGCAACACAACACCCTTGTCTGAGCTGTCTTTGGAGCGATCAAGAAGAGGATCCCTGCCGGTAGTCAACAAATCTTCCACATGGCCAGGTAAGTGTTTCTCCCATAGTTCCTCATCCTGAGACAGCATGTAAGAGTGGCCAATCACAGCTCTAATCTGGAAGAGAATGAGGAATGGTAGGAAACGTAAGAATACATAACATCCCCATAAAATTAGTAGCTCAACATTAAGAAAACTAAGGATCATGTCATCTGGCCCTCTCAGTTCCTGGCAAATAGATGGGGAAGAAATGGAGGAAGTGACCGATTTTATTTTCCTGGGCTCCAAGATCACCACAGATGGGGACTGCAGCCAAGGAATTAAAATATGCTTGCTCCTGGGGAGGAAAGCTATGGCAAATCTAGACAGCACACTAAAAAGCAGTGACATCACTCTGCCAACAAAACTGTGTATAGTCAAGGCTATGATTTTCCCAGTTGCAATGTATGGCTGTGAGCCAAAGAAAGGAGGCCTTTGAACTCTGGTGCTGGAGAAGACGCCTGTGAGTCCCTTGGACTGCAAGGTGATCAAACAGGTCAATCCTAGAGGAAATCAACCCTGTCTGCTCTTTAGAAGGCCAGATCCTGAAGTATGGTCAAATATTTTGACCACCTAATGAGAAGGAAAGACTCCCTGGAGAAGAGCCTAACGCTGAGAAAGACTGAGGGCAAGAGAAGAAGGGGACGACAGAGAATGAGGTGGCTGGATTGAGTCACCGAAGCAATAGGTGTAAGCTTAAATGCACTCCGGGGGACGGTAGAGGACAGGAAGGCCTGGAGGAACCTTGTCCATGGGGTCGCGATGGGTTGGATACAACTTCGCAACTAACAACAACAACAAATTTAGTCAAATTTCCTGGCAATCTCCTTTATTTCAGAAGCGTTATGCAAAGGAGGTCTCTATTTATAGCTTTGAAAGAACGAGGATGTCTCTATGTTAGCAACTGTTTTCCCCGTAGCAGTAGGGAAGTGAAAGTTGGATTTTTCAAGAAATATATTAACCCTTTTGAACTTCAGTGTTGGAGAAGATTTCTGAGGATAGCCTCAAAAGCAAACAAAGGGATGATAAATTATTGTTCTCACTCAAAGCACAAATGACCAGACTTAAATCTTTGTATTTTGGAGAAGTTATGTAAAGATCCAGTTTCCTTAAGAAGCCCATAATGTTGGGAAAGGAGGGAGGAAAGAAGTGAAGAGGATAACCAGCAGCAAGGTGAATGGATGATTGCGGTGGACTGTTGGAAGACTCAAGGCTGGAGACATGATATCCTAGAGAAGGTTTATCTATGTGATTGCTGAGAGTCAGCACTAAGTTAATGGAATAAGAAGAGAAGAGAATCAACCTAGAACTAAGGAGAAATTTCCTGACAGTTCACTAATATAATTAATCAGTGGAATGACTTGCCTTGAGAAGTTTTGGGTGCTCCAACCCTGGATGTTTTTAAGAAGAGATTAGAGAACGTCTAAAATGATATAGTATTTCCTGCCTGAGGATTGGACTAGAAGATCTCCAAGTTCCCTTCCAACTCTGTTATTCTATCAAGGTAATACAGAAACCGGGAAATTTTCTTCAGCGAAGAAGCGGGATTACAAATAAGATTTTGCACGCTATTTAAGATAATAACACCCAGCACTGCCTTTCTCCATTATCAAGACTCCCTTACAATGTTTATTTTCAAGCAATTTTGGGGGGACATTTCTTTCTAGCCTTCTGTGAAAGGTTCTTTTTCGCAGGGTCTGGACCCTTATTACTTTCATTTCAGGTTTAATGGAGATTAGTGATAAATTATTTTTATGCAAATCAGAAGTAGGTAGAGGCATTATTTGCTTCCTCGATTTTCGAATAGGAGGAGGAAGAGAAAGAGAAGTGTTATTATAGTATTTTAAAAATGGAACTAGAGCCCACTCATCCTTTGCCCGTATATGGATATGCACAAATAAATTTACAATCATTCAAATATATTGAAATAAAAACCATGATGGGATTTTGATGGCATATCAATCTTTTAACACCTCAATCTTGGTAGTCTTCGACCTACAACCAAAATTGAGCTGAAAATTTCCACAGCTAAGCCAGGCAGTTGTTAAATATGTTTTGCCTCATTTTATGACGTGGAATAACAGAATAAGAGTTGGAAGGTACCTTGGAGGTCTTCTAGTCCAACCCCCTGCTCAGGCAGGAAATCCTATACCGTTTCAGACAAATGGTTATCCAATATCTTCTTAAAGACTTCCAGTGTTGGGACATTCACAACTTCTGGAGGCAATTTCTGTTCCACTGATTAATTGTTCTAACTGTCAGGAAATTTCTCCTTAGTTCTAAGTTGCTTCTCTCCTTGATTAGTTTCCACCCATTGCTTCTTGTTGTTCTACACTCAGGTGCCTTAGAGATACCCACCTCCTGCAGACATACCCTGCAACTGTTCTTCATATGTTTTAG